ACATGATCGGATAACGAACACCCCACAGAACAAACACAAGAAGAAGTGACGTAAAATAATGAATACCGATTGGTTTTCCCTTGTCTTCGGGCAACAATTCGAAACTTTTCGGAGTGCAGGAGACGTCGACATCGACGCTCAAGCCGGTATATACCGATTGGATAGTATTCCTCTGAACTTTGAAACTCTCCCTTGTAATTCCAGCCTTTTATTTTTCTAACAAAACAATTCTTATATGTATTCATGAGACTGTCAGGTAGGCACTCGTTAAGTTTTGCGTCTGTTTTTCTTTTCGAAAGGTGAGAGTATAATAGCAAAGATAGAGAGTATGCAGAAGATACCTAATGTTGCTGGGCAATATGGTGTGAACAGGTCTACAGTAGGCCACAGTTCAATCTTATTTAAGAAAAATACTGTATAATACTGTATATAATAGAAAAATACTGTATAATACAAACAGCTAAAGGAGTAACAAAAATCACGTCTGAGAAATAAAGATCATTGAAAAGTTCATAATGAAACCTGAAACGGATCTGATAACAGAAGAATGCCAAGAACTCTTGAATGAAGAACACCAAGAAACTCGGTGAAATATGTTTTCTTTTGAAAAAGAGGATTAATGCCGATATCTGTTATTAAAGATCCTTTGAAGAAGTGGGAGGATGTCAGAACAACGGTATTAGAATGGCATCCAAACCAGGTTGAGGCTTGGGGATTTCTACAATTGCAATCCTATTAATTACTTATGAAAAATCCTGAAGAAGAGAGAAAAGCAATCGACATTAGATGTATTCTTTAACCCTTTCAAACGGAAAAAACATGACTAATAAAAACACAAGACTGTGTATGTATGTATTTTTATTATTACATATAAATAAACGTAGTAAGAAAGTATATATTTTTTATTTTTGGGGGTCTCCAGAACAAATTAATTAAATTCCCATTAAAACCTATGGTAAACAGATAATCGGTTAACGAACAATTTGGATAGCGAACAAAGTCTTGGAACGGATTATGTTCGTTAACCGATCACCCACTGTATATATTCTGAATCCACAAATTTGAAAATTCATAAAAGAAATAGAAAATTAATGATATATCTAATAGGCTAAACTATTGTAACCAAATCTAATATAAGAATTGCTATATAATATAACAAATTTGCATATTAGATTTTATTACTTGTAACATTTACAATTGCAAGCATACAAATAAATATACCTTTTTTATTCCAGTAAAATGTCTTTATTTAATTGAATGAATGTTTTTGACCATCTATAATAACACTTTAAAATTATAATCCAGTTAAAAAAGCAAAAACATTTATTGAAAAACAAAACGTTTTCAACCTTTATAAAAGCAATCCTCAGGTTCTACTGATACAATGCAAATGCATAGTACTTTGCATTCTATTAGTAGAACCTGAGAATGGCTTTTATAAAGGTTGAAAACGTTTTGTTTTTCAATAAATTTTTTTGTTCTTTTAACTGGATTATGGTTTTGAAGCGTTCTTATATTGCATACATCCAGTTTAGGATAGAGTTTATGCATTTTTAACCATCATTTATTGGTCTTCAGGTCATTTTATTTTATTCTATATCAAAGTTATAAAATAGAATAAAATTTCAAAATAATAACTTTCATTTTTCACTGAAACTGAATCGTAATTTAAATTATGGAACTTTTGTTCTACCTAGAACTGTTACAATTTTTAAACTAACAAAGTGCATACTAACAAAACAAAAACAAAACTATTTGATTGTGATATGTAAATATCACAACCAAAATAAAACTAAAATAAAAGTAAATAAATAATACTATTAAGAAATAAAATAAAACTATACTTATACATATGTAGATAACCAACAAACTAAAAACAATTTTTTAAACAATGTGTTTACTAACATATGTGTTATGATGGAATGTCACAAAATGGGGTCAAGCTATCTCAGACTATGCTTTCCATGCATATGCAAGAGCCTCTGTGTCCTTTGCAAAAATGCATTTATTCTTCCATAAGATTTATTTATTTCTAATAATTCCATTTCTTTTAACACTGAAAACATTTGGATGTGGTTGTATCAATTGTACTCCCAACATCTGTTTGCATATCTTGTGCCTGAAGATGACCATTAAATGATTAAAAAATTAAATGAACATTTTTGACAAAGTTATTTTGCTGGAAAAAAATGGTAATCATATTTAATTGAATAACACTGAAATAGTATTTTGTATTATGTCTTGAAAAAAGTCTTAAACCATTATGCTTGCCTAACCAGTAGATTCTATGTTCTAATATATATATATATATATTATTTATTTAATTATTAATTAAATTTATAAAAATAAGAATATATGCTAATCTAATGAAAAATTCTAGTATTTACTATGCATTGGTAATCATATTTAAT